CCGTGTGAAAACACGACATTCCTGGAGATGTTGTGGTTTTTTTTTTTTTTTTTTTTTCAACCGACCACTTTGCTGCTGTGATCTAATATTAATCTGGCTGCCGAATCTGGTGACTGACTTTAAATTTTCCTTCGCTGTGTACACGCTGTGGGCAGTAATCACGTTTACACGATCATTTCTGTTGTCAGCTCTTCCCTGGTGGGTTTTTGTATTTCTCCTCTCAGTCGTGGCAAAGTTTTTTATTTCATTTTTGTGTTCCTGAGAGCTGCCGGCTGGCCATGCTGAGCTAGTTTCTTTTTAAAAGTCAAAGGAGCTTGTCAGGATGCGCCTTTGTTTCTTCCCGTCATTTCGGTCAACTTTTTGCCAGGGACGGAAAGATTTTTCCTGAGACGTCAGAGCTCGTCTCCTCCAAACTCCCGGCGACGTGGATTCGTTTCACAGCGGCACCCGCTTCCCGGGGAGGTCGGGATGCTCTTCAGGGCTGGTGCAGGCGTGGAGAGCGGGGAAAGAGCCCTCGTTTTGAGGCTTGCCGGGTTTTTTTCACCTTTTGAGCAGTTAGCTTCTTCATTTCAGACGACTTCGCCATAGGGCTGTTGCACCAGCGGGACGGGAGCCCAGGATGCTCCTGCATCCCAGCGCAGTGCTGCCCAGGGCATCCTTCATACCTGCTTGGAAAGACAGGAGCATCTTTAAATCCTCTTTACAGAGAAGCAAGGCCCAGTTTGCAGTACACAAATAATCACAGGGGGGTTTTGTTGTTTTGTTTTGGTGTTGGTTTTTTTTTTACTTTCGATACAAAACATTCCTTTTTTATTAGTCGCAGTCGTGTATTCATTCCATTCTTCCTTTTGTAAACTTTTTTGGGCCCACGTCTTTTATGGGCATTGATATATATAAATATATATATAAATATATATGAATATATTTTTTTAAGTTTCCTACACCTTGAGGTTGCATGGTCTGTAAGGTTGGCATGTCTTTATATTGTATACAGATTTTGCACGCCAAACTTGGCAGCTTTGACAACGAAAAAAAAATCGTGGTTTTGGGTTTTTTTGGGTTGTTTGGTTTTTTTTTTTTGTTTTTCCTCTCGTGGCATTTGCGGAGACTAAAGGTTGGGACGTTGTTGTCACACACACACACACACGCGCGCGTGCACCCACGCACCACCCACACAGCTACACACAAAGGAAGGAGAGTGGGAACATTTTTTGCGTCTTACTGAACTTAATAAGAAATTGTGCTTTTTATTGTTAAAAAAAAAAAGAGTAAATAAAAAGGACTACTTAAACATTTCTCATTTTAAGAAGAAAAAAAAAAAAAAAGACGTTTATCTAGCACTTGTGACTTACCAATAATAGAGTTTATTGTATTTATGTGGAAACAGTGTTTTTAGGGAAACTACGCAGAACACACAAAGTAAACTGCTTGTGTCATCATTATTTTTTTTCCTTTTAATTTGGGTTGGTATTTTATTTTGATTTCTTGGCTGGGTGGGGAGGTTGGATGCAACCCTTTGTCAACACACGTAGTCATTAATTCTAAGGAGACGAATGATGAGGACTTTAAAGAGTTAACTCTTCAGCACAGCTGCGTTAACTTTTTTAAAATTACTTTTACATGATGTATTATTGCTAGGTTTCACTTTAAACAGTCGTGTACTGTGCAACACTGTGGTTTAAAACGAGACTTTACATCAAAAGGAAAACATGTTTCTTCATTGTCATGAAGTTGAGCTCGTTCCAGCTCATCTTCACTTTGTCTTTGATATTGATGAAAAATTATCCTATTGAAAGAAAATAAATTAACACTTTTCTGTGCTCCATAGTGGAGGCGCTATTTTCCAATTTATGAGGATGACAAACTTATATATATAATATATATATAAAAGTGGGGGGGAGGGGTTGAAACATTATTCACCCAAGAGCTTATTACAGATATGTAGTATCAAAAAGTTGTAACTATATTATATTCTACTTTATACCTATACATGCTCAGTATGACGTCACCATTGGTAGCAGCTACCGGTTTACGCTGTAATTTAGACACAATTTCACTCTTATTGTATGGACCCTACTTTAAGTGATGGTAGCATTCTTTGTGCTAAATTTTCTGATGGTCCTTTCTTTTACTTGGTGGAGTTGGAATATTTTTCTCATTCTTGTTTTGTTTGGGGTTTTTTGTTTTGGTTTTTTTCTCTTTTGGTTTTTTTTTTTTTTTTTACTGGCCAATGGTGTCTTTCTCTGACAGTACCGACTTCAATTTCAACTTTATTAGGAGTCCAGTATTTTGTACCACATTATGACAACTTGTTATTCTTGTGGTGTAAATAAAAAGAAAAAGTTAATTATAGTACCACCCTGGTTTCTGTTGCTGATCTTTTCATCTGGTGCCTTCGGTGTGATGCCATATTTCATCCGCTTGAAACAAAATGGTTTCTTGGTAGCGTGGAAGG